TACAACTCATTGGGCACCTTCTTGCCTCAAGGTTTTGGATGTATGAATAGTAACATTTCACCGTTTCCCTTTCATCAGGACCTTTTATAGTGATTCTTACTATTTAAATGAGCTTCCAAGTCACTGTTCAGCTGTACTTATTGGTAAGCTGAATTACTAACTGTCCAAGCAAACCAGTGAAGACTTTTTGCTCAAAAAGTAAACATTTCAGATCTGACCATTCAACTATTTCCCCGCCTTCATCAGAAAACTGAGATCATTCTTTGTCCACCAGATTTATGTAGGTGGAAAGCAGATATATTCAATGAGAAAACTTGGGCAAGCCCATGTTTTGTTTTCTTCATGGTCATATGGTAAATTTTTTGTTTTTAAAGATTCTGATGTAAACTAGTATGTTTTGGATGTACTGGGATGTAAACTACCCTCCTCTGCATAAAACAATGGCTACCTTAAGCCTTAATATATTTATTAAATTACTTTATAGGCTCAAAAAAAAAGAAAGAAAATGAATTTGCTCTGTAAACCAAACTCACAGCCATCAAGTGAGTTTCTGAGAAGGTAACTCTTTTTTTAAATTTTATTTATTTATTTTTAAATCATTTTATTAGTGGCTCATACAACTCTTATCACAATCCATACACACATCAATTGTGTAAAGCGCATTTGTACATTCATTGCCCTCTCTTTACATTTTTTAAAAACATTAGGAGCTCATACAACTGTTATCGCAATCCATACACACATCAATTGTGTAAAGCACATTTGTACATCATTCTCAAAACATTTTCTCTCCACTCAAACCCCCGACATTAGGTCCTCATTTTTCCCCTCCCTCCCCACTCCCCCCTCCCTCATGAGCCCTTGATAGTCCATAAATTGGTATTTTGTCATATCTTGCCCTGTCCGACGTCTCCCTTCACCCACTTTTCGGTTGTCTGTCCCCCAGGGAGGTCACATATAGCTCCTTGTAATCGGTTCCCTCTTTCCTACCCATTCTCCCTTTACCCTCCCTGTTTCGCCACTCACACCACTGGTCCTGTAGGGCTCATCCGCCCTGGATTCCCTGTATTTTTGTTTCCCATCTGTACCAGTGTACATCCTCTGGTCCAGCCAGACTGGCAAGGTCGAATTCGAGTCATGGTAGTGGGAGTGGGGAGGAAACATATAGGAACTAGAGGAAAGTTGTATTTCTCATTGTTGTTACATCACACCCTGACTGGCTCGTCTCCTCCCCGAGACCCCTCTGCAAGGGGATCTCCAGTGGCCTACTAATGGGCTTTGGGTCTCCACTCCGCACTCCCCCCATCATTCACTATGGTAAGATTTTTTGTTCTGCTGATGCCTTATACCTGATCCCTTCGACACCTCGTGGTTGCATAGGCTGGTGTGCTTCTTCCATGTGGGCTTTGTTGCTTCTGAGCTTGATGGCCACTTGATTAGAGAAGGTAACTCTTTACAGAAGTAGAAAGCCTCGTCCTTTCTCTTCAGGATCAGCTAGTGGTTTCAAACTGCTGACTCTGGAGTTAGCAGCCCAATGCAGAACCACGATGTCATCAAAGGTGCTCTCTCCTCTCTCTGTCACACACACACACACACACACACACACACACACACAAAACCACACACACTGCTTTCTCTAAAGTTTCCGTTTCTGGGACCGATGTTCCTTGCATTTTGTATTTCCTGAAACGAGAGTACCCTGCTTGGATACTTTCTTGAAAGGTCAGGTTGGCATCTTTAGATCTTTCCTCTAACACTAACCACCCTTGAGTGCCAACTGAAAGCTTTACATTATTGTAAATGCAACCCAGAAGCATCCACAACGGGTTCTTGTCTCTGGTGCCGGCTGTGAAGAGAGAGGTTAGTGGATTCTCCAGGTGAAGGATCTGAGTACTTCCAGCTCTATTGCCCTTGGCAAGATAACCCCTCAGACTCCAGACGGGGATTTTTTCTTTCCTTGGTGCATGGAGTGTCCATTGTGCTGGACCCTGACCTGGGCCTAAGGGGCCAAAAAGGAGAAAAGAGAACACAGAAATGCTCCCTCCCCATTGGTTAATATGGGCCATCTGTTACAGAACCACAAGGAAGTAAGGTTACAGTGTAGTCATCCCATGCCCAATTATTTCAATAGTCACTGCTCCAAGCACATCTTTAAATATTCAGGATGTTCAAAGCATTTTGAACCCAGTCCATCTCCCATCAAGCTAGATGAGCCTGCCTTGGCATCTAAGCCAACATTTATGTCCAAAAATTGTGGCACAACATAAAACATGCCAAATTAAGGAACTCTGATTTGGCCTATTCGAAGGGAGAAAAGGGAAAATGACTGGTTCGGGGAAGCTGTGTTTACAAATCCCATCTTCTTGCACCCAAGTACAACGAGAACTTCAACTACTAGTTAAGTCAAGCTCTGCTTCTTTGAGTAGCTGACTAGATAAGAAATTCTTGCAAGAGCACTCTTGGGTAAAAATGTTGATGTAGTTGGGGAGATGGTTGCATAACTTCAGGAATATGTTAAAAGCTCAGAATTGTGTTTTATAGTCTCTCTATCTATAACCATACTAACCACCACATGTAGGCAAGGCTTATTCCTGGGGCTGCAGACTGAGTTCCCCGAGGGGTTCTGGCCCTCCAGGGCGCTAAGCATCTGCTATAGCAAAACACAACTGTTCTTGGGCAGGAGATCCTGCCGATCTCACCTAGGGGGGCCCGGGGCGAAACCTAGCATTGCTCAGTTTCTGTGCGCCCTCGGCAGTTATGTCTTCACAGCCATCTCATAGCCTGGAGGAGCCCGAGAAGCATCTCAGTTACAGCAGGAACCCAATACAATGCTGTGATGGCCAGCTCCTATAGAAGAGTAAACCACACAGAGGCCAAATGATTTCCATCTCCTGGGATCATGCCATATCTCAGGGATGCCAGCAACTCAGACTCCTTGCAGGCGTCCTCAAACTATGGCCCACGGGCCACACGCGGCTGCCGTGGACATTTATCCGGCCTGCTGGGTGTTTTTGGCCCGTTTGTTTTTTTTTTGTTGTTGCTTTGAAATAAGATATGTGTAGTGTGCACAGGAATTTGTTCATAGATTTTTTTTTAACTACAGTCCGGCCCTCCACCAGGTCTGAGGGACAGTGAACTGGCCCCGTTTTAAAAGTTTAGCAGGCACTTTCAGGGAAAGAGATACACAATTTTTTGAGCCCTCCCTCTACCCAGAGGGCACCCTAAAAAAAAAGGTTGAGGACCCTTGCTAGAGGCTCTTACCAATCCTTGTCTTTTTTTTTTCCCCCTTGACTTCAACCTTGACTACCTATCTTTGTCATTTCCTTATTGTTTCTGGGTCCTTTCCCTCATCCCTTCAGAGATGCTAAATGCAGTTAACCCTCAGAAGATACTAAGTCACAGGCTATCTTACTCCCAGTCCACCCCTAGCCCCAATAGCTCACTTATGTTGGGTATATCACTGACTTTTAATTCTATTCTAAATTTTATTTCTATTTTAGACTACAGGGAAGCTTTTATCATATATTTGGCTATTTGTTGGGGGAGACTCCCTTTTATTTTATTTTATTATTTTTTAACATTTTATTAGGGGCTCATACAACTGTTATCCCAATCCATACACACATCAATTGTGTAAAGCGCATTTGTACATCGTTTCTCAAAACATTTTCTCTCCACTTAAACCCCCGACTCTCCCTTTTAAAAAGCAAACTTAATAAAAGTTATTTAGCTTCATTGGTTTTCATACATTTTTCAATTACATTTTCAAATTGTGAAAAGGAAACCCATTGACTGGAAATTAATTTGTTATTGCGCAAACATATCATCCATTAGTAGCCTTACTCACACACTTACGTCTATGCTAATGTCTCTCAGTTAAGATTTAGATTTAGCTTAAGGTAGCCCTAGGAGATGTATGGTTTCATTGGGATCTCCTGTTTATTGCCAATGTATAAGGAAACTATGGATTTTTATTTAGTTGGTTCCCCTATTATTCTAATAGTTTTTCAATTGTTTCACTACTTTTTCTCAGTTACTAATATTATAATTATTCTAACATTTTTCTCTAGAAGAATGTCTGTAAAGGCTTTTCCTTCCTACTACTTCTAAGAATTTTCAAGAACTGCTGCCTGACCAATGCTGAAGAGGAGTGGGGCTGGAGGGCATTGTGTGTGGAGCCCAACGTAAAGGGTAGACCTGAAAGAAATGCCATGAGTTCTTTATGGAGCTTGCTTGCTAAATTTAGCTTACAAAAGCATGTGACCAATGGGAAGGCTTCACATAGAAAACAAAACCCCCAAAACATTAGAACTGTCAGAAATGAGAAAGTATTCTTTGGCATGACTGGTCACCACTGTGGATCCAATGGCCAGAGCTCATGATGATAAAAACTGCTACCACTGCACAGACAGAGTCCCGAGTATGGAAACAGGCTGCACGCCCACTGAGGTAGGCCACACTGAGTCTCGGGCTTCAGTGATGTCAGCCCACAGGTTCCCACGAGGGTTCTGACATCCCTATTTTAGTTCTGGTTTCTGGCCTGGATGGCGCTACCTGGCTGTGGATGAACCCAGGAATTAGATACAAAAAAGCTGAGCTGGTTTTTAGCTTACTTGAAAATGAAGATCAATATCCCTTAATTTTGTTTAAGTAGGAAATTGCTAGGTGAAATGTTTTCATACATTATACCACGGTTCATTTTATCTGAGACAGCTAGAACTACCTTTGCCAAAATGAGTAAGACAATAGGAATTTTCCTGTACTTCATGTCGATCATGACCTAGGAAGGGCTGATCCTGTAATAAGGTTAATTGTACAGTTGGCTTTATTGGGAACTAACAACAGAAGACTTTTGAAGGGAGTTTGATAGGGGAAGAACGGCAATACAGGATTTTATGTTGGGTTCTATACCAGCCCTCCCCCACATAGATTTCCAAATCCTGATTTGGTTTTATCACATTTCTTTCTTGAGCTTACATAAACAAAACACTAGCAAGCCATCAGACTCTATCATGAAAATGTATTTCATGTTAAACACAAAGTACACATCATGCAAATGAGGCATCACCACAGTCACAATGGTGCTGCCGGATACAAGAGATCGCAACAAAACAAACATTTAACAAAATAAAGCTGTAAGATGGTGAGGCATTTTTTTGGAAAGACAGAACCATGCTATTAAGTACTGTGTGCTTGTCATAGAGAGGATTTTTCCCACTAAGTCTTCGAGATAAATGTCAATGCATCATTGGAGGCATGTATTTTATTTCATATATATATATACATACAATATACATACACAAACATACACAGTTTCGGTAATGAATAAATTCTTAAACCATAGCTCCTTTGAAAAGCACACGAGCAAGATTACTGTTGAGATTTCTCCATAGTTGCACACTTTCTGGCTGCATACATCTCTCAGAATTCTGTTTTTTTCCAAACCCCTCATTATACAAATCAAATAACGTTTCAAAGAAAAAAGGATCAATTTAATCTGAAAGTCACATTTTTTTTAAACCAGGAGAAACAAATTCAGAGAAAACATCACTACATGGCATAAGATGTATGGAGTATAATAAATTCGACTGTCATTTTCCCCATTCAGATGCTTTTATGCTAAAGTTTGTAAAGTGATATACTGGGTCCAACTCAGGGCCCCTCATTTCAGAGCATCCGGTTTTCATTTGGTCCTGGGCTTGAGTTAAGTTGAGCAAACATAAGAGTAAATCCACAACCCCACCCCCACCCCAAGATTCAAAAGAAATAGTAACATTATGGAAATCAACCAACTACATATCATTTGTTCATATATTCAATTAGAGCCGCTCAATGGTTTGGAGTGAGGGCAGTTTGGAGATTTTAAAGCACAATATGAAAGGGACTCGCTATCTTCAGCTGCCCATGTACATAAGAATCAACATAATAGAACAGAAATCACACACTGTTCAATTTCTTCCTTATTCAACCAGACTCATTACTGTAGCCCTCCAAGAGTATCGTAGGATAATATATTTTGCAAGTGGCTAAGCTTAATAATAATAAAGGACTTCTTGACAGAACCTTCCAAGAAAGGTACCCAGGGAACAGGGGAATCCTGGATTTCGTTAAAAAACAAAACAAAACAAAGAAGGGAAGATATGCAGCTTAAGTTTAGTAGAGTTTGGATAAATGTATAGAATATCTACAAGGAAAAATACCTAAACGGTTATGTGCTCCAACTTGGGGAAGAGGCTGGTTGTAAAGCACAGTTCCAAGCTGGAGTCGCTTAAGCTCTTCAGAGGCTCACTGGGATGTCTGAGCAGTACAGGTAGTGTTTGTCAGCAGCCGAAGCTTCTAAAGAGAACTGGGGAATGAAACTTTGCTAACGCCCAACAAGGTGAAAGTCTCAAGGTTTCTACCAAGAGTGGCCAGTGTCTGACGTACTAGCTAGGAATACAGGTACACTTAGATCTAATAATGTGGAATCCAGTGGTTAAGAGTGACAGAAGCTTCTTCAGATGGGTAGCAGCTTGGATAGGACCAGTAGCAGCTTGACGGGGTCTCCAACCACCACCTGTGTCGGTGTAAAAAACAACACCAGGTGAGACCAATGAATTTGTGATGAACTATTCTCTTACACTAAAAACAGCACAGAGTGTGGCACTTTCTCAGGGTCCCACAGTGAAGCAATCAGTACCGTGATTGACTTCTAACTACAAGGTTGGTGGAATAAGTCCAACCTGAGGTTCATCAGAAGAAAGGCCTGGAAATCTACTTCTGAAAGAACACAGCCATTGAAAACTCTATGGAGCTTAGCCCTACTCTGAAACACACGAGGATGCCATCAGTTAGACTTGATGCAACTAGATTTTATGGAACATTCTACCTCCTTAGTATTTATTTTCCTAGCTCACAGTATTTCTCAACAGAAGTGCTATAGCATTGGGGGGAGAACTATTCTTTGAGATGGGCAAAACTTCTTTTGTAAAGGATTATCCTAAGAACTGCAGACTATTTACACCACCAAGCTTAGCCTTCCAAAAGGCAGTGTTGCCCTTGCACCCCACCATTGTGACAACAGAAACTGGCCATAAGCACTTCCTAGTGGGGTTGTACCACTTGTTGGAGCAGAATTTAAGAACCAAAATATACCACAAACGAATATACCTAAGCAATGTGCATAAAAGATTGGTGAAGCTTTTTCTCTCTTTCTGAATAGGGACTTTGCAGTTTTCTAGGTAGAGGTGTGGGGGAATATATGGGAGAGGGGGAGGTGGGGGGAAGGGAAGAGGTGTTAACAAACCCAGGGACAAGGGAACAACAAGCGATCCAAATTGGTGGGGAGGTGGGT